AGACTCGCGGAACGGATTAATTTCGTCTTGCGAGGCACCACTGTATTACAGTACAGTGGTACCTTGGTTTAAGAACAGCTTAGTTTATGAGCAACTTGGATTAAGAACGCTGCAAACCCGGAAGTAGGTGTTTTGGTTTGTGGACTTTGCCTTGGAAGCAGAACATGTTCTGCTTCCTGTTGAGTGTGTTCCATTTGCAAATTGAGTCCCCCGCTGCTATGGGAAAGCATGCCTTGGTTTAAGAACGTTTTGGTTTAAGAACAGACTTCCAGAATGGATTAAGTTCGTAAACGAAGGTACCACTGTACTGCAATATAGCAGATCTTAATATTGCACAGTTTAAAGCGATTTGACGCATGAAAATGGACTCCTTTTTGGAAATAAAGCATTGGCAAGGCCCATAAGTTTAATTAAAAGTTTACTTGCATAACTTTCTTCAAAACAAAAACATACATCCAGATAATTCCATAAGGCATCTTCTGCTGTCCAGCACAGGCTCAGCATCTTAGAAAATATGAATTACTCGAAACAGACCTATAAGCGGACGTCTGTCTCTGCCCACAACCTGCATCCTGCCTGAGGCTGTTTGCCTGGAGAGCTTCATCCTCACTCCCATAGAGTCTGAGAACAAAGACTCAAAGGCAACTCCCTTCAAAATGGAGATTTGCAACCAAATGCCTTTGTGGCCTGACCTAAGGTTAAACACTCAAGTGTTAACTAGCAGAGAACAACAACAGTTACTCATCAACTCAGTTAAAGCTCAGAGTCCCTTAGAATACTGTAGTTCAATTTCCCCAGAGATGGACCTTTTCCAGCAATAAACATTTAGCTATTTTTCATTTTAGTGTCAATTAAATAATTATACTTAAAAAGGTAAAGGTACCCCTGCCCGTACGGGCCAGTCTTGACAGACTCTAGGGTTGTGCGCCCATCTCACTCAAGAGGCCGGGGGCCAGCGCTGTCCGGAGACACTTCCGGGTCACGTGACCAGCGTGACATCGCTGCTCTGGCGAGCCAGAGCCGCACACGGAAACGCTGTTTACCTTCCCGCTAGTAAAAGGTAAAGGTACCCCTGCCCGTACGGGCCAGTCTTGACAGACTCTAGGGTTGTGCGCTCATCTCACTCTATATGCCGAGAGCCAGCGCTGTCCGCAGACTCTTCCGGGTCACGTGGCCAGCGTGACAAGCTGCATCTGGCGAGCCAGCGCAGCACACGGAACGCCGTTTACCTTCCCGCTAGTAAGCGGTCCCTGTTTATCTACTTGCACCCGGGAGTGCTTTCGAAGTGCTAGGTTGGCAGGCACTGGGACCGAGCAACGGGAGCGCACCCCGCCGCGGGGATTCGAACCGCCGACCTTTCTATCAGCAAGCCCTAGGCACTGAGGCTTTTACCCACAGCGCCACCCGCGTCCAATTATACTTAACATGTAGTCAATGCCTTGAAGATGGCCCAGAAGCTTCACTTCCTTCCAAACGCACCTGCTGGTGCTCTGATTGCACCTTGTTGGTGCCATAGATATGAGTCTCACTTTGGCAGTGAGAGGTCCTGGGCTCAATTTCCACACAAGCCCATCTCTGTGGGGAAAGGGGGGTAAATTTGCTCAGTAGGAGACCATGTGCGGTGCCAGCAAAGAGCCCCTACACTTTGAATTAGGATCAAGTTGTACAGCAGGAGGTGGGGAAAAATACCTGCATGAGTCGCTACTAATCAGAAATCAGCTATTGTGAAGTGGATGGCCACAAAAGTCTGATTCAGTAAAATGCAACTCCTGTTGTTCATGTTCCTATATCTGTTGGAAGTCTTGGCATGCAACTCAGTTTGTATCAGGTGTGGTTTGCATGGGGAGAAATTAGAGAGGACAGACTCCAAACTTCCTAGGCAGTATTTCTGTTCTAACCTGGGCTGACCTTCCTTCTGATGTCAGATTGATACCTCTAAGGGTTGCTGACTTCCTTACCTGTTCCTCCCTTCTTCTCAGTCCCACCTTGGGAATCTGTCTCTCTCCTGCGGAGATGAAAGAGCAAAAATGGCTCTTTGCATCTCTAACTTAGCTACAACTAGGATTTCTTTACCCTCTAAGCATGTGTTGCAAGTCACTTTTGAGTTGCCATGGCAAAAAAAAAAAGTGTGATTCACAGATTTAATTAATAACCACAATGTATTTCTTCTATTTCATACTTAAAGTCTCAGTGAGATTGTGTTAGGACTAAAGAGTGCTCAACAGCAAGAATTCAGTATACAGCCAGCTTCCAAGCTGTGTGCTCGCTCTGCAAACTTCATTCACCACTATCCGTGTTAGAACATAACATAACAACACAAGAATTGAGTCCTGCTAGATTAGACCATAAGGGACGCGGGTGCCGCTGTGGGTTAAACCACAGAGCCTAGGGCTTGCCGATCAGAAGGTTGGCGGTTCAAATCCCCGCAACGGGGTGAGCTCCCATTCCTCAGTCCCTGCTCCTGCCAACCTAGCAGTTTGAAAGCACACCAGCACAAGTAGATAAATAGATACCTCTCCGGCGGGAAGGTAAACGGCGTTTCCGTGCGCTGCTCTAGCTCGCCAGAAGCGGCTTAGTCATGCTGGCCACATGACCAGGAAGCTGTACGCCGGCTACCTCAGCCAATAAAGCGAGATGAGCACTGCAACCCCAGAGTCGGCCACGACTGGACCTTATGTTCAGGGGTCCCTTTACCTTATATTAGACCGTAGGGGGCGCATCTATTTCAATGCCCGATTTTTGCTCCGGCCAACCACAGGCCGATATGGGAAGCCTGCAAGCCAGACCAGAGGGCAACAGCACTCTCCCCCAATAATAATTTCCAGCAACTGGTATTCAGAGGCATCTCCCCTCCGACAATGGGGCTAGAACACAGCGATCCGTCCAACCACGTTGGTGGTGTTGACCTGTTCTTTTACTTGTCAGTCTTGTGCTCCACAATCACCTCCTGTCTCCACTGATGGGTGGAGGACCTGCATGGTCTCTATCAGGGCTGGCTCAGAATGTTTTACCACTCCAGCCAAAACTGGAAATGACCCCCTGCTCCCCAGTCAGCTTGTGCAGGGGAGCAGCCCCTCCTAGCTGACTGGGGGCTGTTTCCCTGAGGCCACTGCCTCCCCTCACCTCATGGGCAGGCAGGCCCTGGTCTCTATCTTCCTACATGCTATGGAATGGAACACACAATAAATGGGCAACTGGCCCTTGAGATGCGCCTTTATGGAAAGCTGCCCTGAGTGAGAAAGGGAAGCAGCACTGCATTATTATTATTATTATTATTATTATTATTATTATTATTTAGTATGTATTCAATTTATATACCACTCTTATTTGAAAATCCCAGGATGGTGTACAATTTCTTTCTTTCTTCTTTATTAAATATTTTCTTGGTTTACAAAAGTGTGTGCAATGTCTCTCTCTTGTATTTTTTCCCCCATGTAACATTTTTACAAATCAGTTTCATTTGTTGAGACATTAGGAAGAAAAGGGGGAAAGAGGTGGAGGGGGGAGATGGGTGGGGGTGGGGTGGGGTGGCAATGTTTCTATTTTACTTACTATATGTAGGGTTTGGTGTCAGCGTCGCTTGTGCAGGTTCTTTGCTGTTCATTTGTGTTCCTTTGGTGGTGAGAGAGGTTGGGGTTGGCCTAGGGTGTGGCTGTTCGTTTGTGGTTGGCTGTGGTGGTCTTAGTTTTCATGTGTGAGTGGGGTGGGTAGGTGTTTTGGATCAGGTTAGCCATTTTGATTTGTATGCTGTCGGCAGATTCTTGTCGTTATCTTGTTGAGCTGTGTATGTGATAAAGGGGAGCCATACCGGGGTAAAGGCATCTTCTTCTGTTTGTCCCAGTGTCAGTTTCAGTTTATTGCTTAATTTTTCTAGTCAGGCTGTTTCCCATACTATTTGGTACCATTGGTCCATGCTTACTCCTGACAGGTCTCTCCAGTGTCTGGCTATGATGTTTCTGGCTGCTGAAAGTAGCTGGGTTATGAGTTCTTTGTGGTGTAAGTGGGCATTATTGTCTTGGAAGATGTTTAGTAAGGCAAATTCTGGGGTGGTTTCTAATGCTTCCTTGGTTATTTTACTTTTTTCTCGTATGGCTGTTGTCCAGAATAGTTGGATTTTGGGGCACTCCCACCACATATGGAGGTATGTGCCTGTGGAGGTGACCCTCTCTAGCATTTTGGTGAGGTTCCTGGGCGTATTAGCGCTAGGTTTCTTGGTGTTAGGTACCACCTGTAGGTGAGTTTCAGAGTGAGTTCTTTTCTTTTCGTTGATATGGATTTAAAGGGGGGTTTAGACCACATTTTGTTCCATTGAGTGGGGTTAATCTCATAGCCTATGGCATCCTCCCATTGTTTTTTGATTGCGTCTAGGGAGTTCGTGGGATTTTGTAGTAGTATTTTGTATATTGCGGGATGGTGTACAATGTTAACAATTTAATTTGCATAGCATAACAACAACAACAACAACAACAACCAATAAAACAATCACTGAAAAAAATCATAATGACAGTCCTCCACTTTTAAAGGGCCATGGATTGTTTAATGGCCAAGGACCAGTAAAGAGGGATGTTTTCACCTGGCACCTAAACACAGAGCGTGGTGATGAGAATGCCAAGGTTGCAGGTTTGATCCCCGTAAGGGACAGCTGCATATTCCTGCAATGCAGGAGATTGAACTAAATGATCCTCAGGGTCCCTTCCAATTCTATGATTCTGTGAATCTATGACATGCAATGATGGCACCAGGCGAGCCTCTCTGGGGAAAGCATTCCACAGACAGGGAGCCACCACAGGAAAGGCCCATTCTCGTGTTGCCACCCTCCGAATCTCTTGGAGAGGGAGCGACACAGAGAAGGACCTTGGATGACAAGTGCATGGTCTGGGTTGGTTTGTATGAGAAGAGGTGATCCTTAAGGCACTGAAGTCCTGAGTCATTCATTTGCCACAAGGAGAAGGGTGATTACTCTTTAGAGGAAACCTATAACGATTTATTTTTTGCTGCAGGTGCCAAAGGCCAAGATTTGGAAGTTCTGCAGCCTCCAGGAGCCTTGTCTGTGTCCGCAGGAGAGACCCTCACTCTGACGTGTACAGTACGTGGAACTGGTCCACCAGGAGGCGTGAAATGGCACAAGGGGTCGGACAGAAAGCAGCCCATTTACAGTGAAAGAGGACAATATCCTTCCCGCGTGACCAGGGTTGTTGCTGGATCACAAACAGACTTCAGCATCCGCATCAGCAACATCCGACCTGAGGATGCTGGGACCTTTTACTGTGTCAAGTACAGGGCAGGATCCCAAGAAACAGAATTTAAATCGGGAGTGGGCACTGAGGTTTCCGTGATTGGTAAGTATCCCTCAATTTCTCCTTGTTTCCAAGGAGGACTATCTGCCCCCCTCGCCCCAGAAGCTCCATGTTATATAAAAATACAAGGGCATCTAATGAGGCTCAGACCTTTTAAAAAAAGCAAAAAATAGCCTTGTGGGTCCGCACGTTTGAGTAGTGGAGCAGTGGAAGGAGAAAGGATGCATAACTCTTTCAGTGCTGGGCAATATCCTGCTCAAAATCTCTTTTCTCCCTCCTCGTACATGGTCCCAAAGCTGCTTTTCATACTTTGAAAACCTAGATGTCATTATGTGTACTTAACCCCTTTGGCAACTCAGCTACGTGGAGAGCCTCTTGTGAGCGATGGGGATATTTGATCTGCCAGGGAATGGGACAACTCAGTTAATCACCTGGGAATTTCCTAGCTATCCAGGACTCATTCTTCAGCCCTTGGACTGGGCTGCAGAAATGGAATTTATTTTATCTACTTATTTCATCTGGAGTGGAGAGTTTGTGGCACAGGGGACATCAAGGCAGGGGTGTACGAAGTGGGGGGTGGTCCGCCCCAGGTGCCACTCGGGGGGGGGGTGACAAGATGGCCCTTGCCTCCCCCCAGCTGTAGAGCGGCCGAGGGCGCATACAGGCTGCTGCTCTCGTGTGCCATCCATATGGGCTGCCTCTCGCATGGCGCCCATACAGGCTGCCACTCTCGCGTGCCGTCCATACAAGCTGCCTCTCACATGGCGACCATACAGGCCCGCAGCCCATACAGAGTGTGCACGCGTGAGTGGCAGCCCATACAGTCGCTGTGCTTGCATCACTGGGCAGTTTGCCCCGCCCCTCGATGTCCCGCCCCAGGTGCCGGAGAGGGTTCGTCCGCCACTGCATTGAGGCAGCGCCTGGAGGCATCAGTGAATCAACCAACGCCTCCAATGGCGCCATGAAAGGTCACGATAAGTATTCTCTCAAAAGGCCACAATTAGACCTTTGGCTCTTCCCACTCGGTTCCTGTTTGCACTGCCTTGGCCTCTCCTTCATTCAATACACCCCTTTACAAAGAGCCACAGTGCATTGGATGCCAGGGGTATGGACCAAGGGAATAGGTGGGCCTGACTCTGTCCCAGCCTGGTCTGATTTCCTAGTTGGTCGATTAATCATTTGGGTAGTTGAGGGAAAAGGGAGAGGTACAAAGAGCTTCTCATTGGGATCAAGCACAGTGGTGGCTGGTGAAGGGGCCTTTTTCACCATTGGTGGAAGAGGGATGTCCACACCATTTTGCGCTCTTCTGTCTAGGTGTGGCAGGCGTTGTGGTCTGCCACACACAAACCCCAAGGCAGCTGCCTTGCGACTGGCACCCATGGCACTCTCTTAAAATTCCAAATGTGCCCACTGGCCCAGAAAAGGATTTCCCTTGGGATTGGTGATGGGCCCTATCCTGCAAGGGTCACCAGGTGATGTGTCGATGCTTCCTCCCGCAGCCACGCCATCCCAGCCATCTATCGAGGGTCCCGCGAGCAGAGTGTTATCTGGGACCTCGGCGACTTTCAACTGCACATCGGATGGATTCTCCCCCCGAGCCATCAAAGTCACTTGGCTGAAAGACAACACCAGGATCGTGTCCCCAGAGCCCACCGTTCTGCCAGAAGGAGACAGCATCTCCTACCAAGTGCTGAGCAGCGCACAGGTGCCACTCACAAGAGACGATGTGAAGTCCCAGCTCATCTGCCAGATTGAACACGAGACCTTGCAGAGTCCCCTGCGGGAGTTTTTCAAACTTGGAGATATCCTACGAGGTACAGAGACTGGTGGGGCCCTGGCTGTCGGGTGGTGGATCATTGCATTTGATGGGGCGGCTGAGGTATCATGGTGTTTCTTACCTGCCTTCTGAGCAGCAAGCTTCACTGCTGGTTCCTGAGAGGGAGGGGGGAGGGAACAAGCAGAGATTTTTTTTCAGCCGGAAATCACTGGAACTCTGTTCTGGCACCATTGCCAGAATGGTGGGCGCCATTGCCATTATAAAAGAACAAGGCATCACGACAGCCACACGGATGTTGCTAACCCAGAGATGGAAAGAAAACAAGGTCCCTACCGGAGAAGAATGTCAAACTAAACTGCTGGATTATGCCGAAATGGCAAAACTGGCCAGAAAGCTCAGGGATCAAGAAGACCAAAACGTCAACAAAGAATGGGAAAAAATTATAATTTATCTTGGAGACCGCTGTAAGCAGATGAAAACATTAGCAGAATCGCAGTAACACTTGTAATGTAGCAAGTACTATGGAGATAATGGAGTAATATAGCGTATTTTTCGCTCCATAAGACGCACCTTTTTCCTCCTAAAAAGTAAGGGGAAATGTCTGTGCATCTTATGGAGCGAATGTGTGGTCAATCGCTGGCTCCCTTTCCGGCCCCTTGTCCAGGCCTCCATTGTTGGATGTTCTGCAGAAGGAGGCTGTTTGTTTCCCCAGCGACATGTGACTGGCTGATTAGATTATCTGTCTGGAAACTGTAGAAACGGCTCCCTTTCCTTTCCTAAAGAAGCTGCAGAACTGTGAGTTGAACCCCATAAAAACAGGATTTTTTTACCTTTGCAAAGTAAGCCCAACAACTTTGAGCTGACCCTCAAAAAAGGGAAACTTTTCCCCTTTGCAAAAGAAGCTGCACAACTGTGAGCTGATCCCCCTAAAAACGGGGTTTTCCCCCTTTTCTCCTCTAAAAACTAGGTGCGTCTTATAGTCGGGTGCGTCTTATGGAGCGGAAAATACAATAAAACATGGATTCTTGAATAATAATCAGTTGAAAAGGTTAACAATAATTGGACCTATGGAGGGGAAGGTGGGAAGTCCAGAGATTCGGAGGAATCTACAAATGTGGATATGTATGGTTGTCATTTTTAGACTTGTAAAATCAAATGAAAATTATTTCAAAAAATATATATAAAAGAACAAGGCAGGTGCTCATGGTGCTCATGCAGGTGGAGCCAATCCTGCACTCCTGCTGCCACGCAGCACCTCTCCCCTGCGCCATGCGCTTCTGCCTCTCCAGAACCGGCCGCTGTGCTCAGTGTTCAGAAGGCAGATCAGCAATGCTTCCCCTTCTGCATTGCTACCAAGTGCAAGGATGGGGAAGGGGCTGCAGATCTGGGATGCCAGGGAGAAGAAATTGGGAGAGGGGTTTAACGCTCTGGGGTCTTTGGGGAGAAAGGGCAGGAGATCAATTGAACTAATAAATTAATCTCCACTATGCATTACCATGCTTCCAAAGGCTGATCCAACAAGGGTGTTTAAGAGTCTACTAAGACTTTGAGCAAGCTTTGAAAAAGGGGCAGCATGAAGCTTCTCATCTGTGGCTTAATTTGCTTTCCTTGGTAGATTGAGAATAGTATATCCAGGTGTAACTTGGAGGGTTTTAGTACGTATGAATGGGTTCTCCTGGCTTACCAAGGGCTTGGAGTTGATTGGCCAGGAGACTTGGAGACCCCCGGTGGACTTTCTTGCCAAAGGGATTTCTCCATGACTTCAGCATGCAGAGATGAGCCTTTTCTCTAAAGGAGAGGTGGCAACTTTGAGCCAAGCTATACATTAGACACACTGCTGGTCCCTTTGCTGGAGAAGCTCCATTGGAGGGGGACAAATGGGAAGGGGCAGGTGCCCCTTCTGCCTCCACTATACTGCTTCTTTGCTCTCAATTGCTCCAAGAAAAAAATTGCCACTGGTACATAAGAAGCATTAACTTCAGCCCTTAGGTGCATTAATTTAAAGGGGGGAAGCATTTCCTGCTACTAAGATGGAAGCCAAGATGCAGCCACACACCAGTTTTGAAGGAGATCAGATGTGTGTTTGATGCTTGTCCAGTCTCCACAGTCCACATGCCCACCAGTGTCCGTCCAAGAACAACTGATAATGAAATCTGAGAGGAGCCCTGTACTCTGAGTAGACCCATGGATAAAAGGGACCAAAGTTTCCCCATGTCCATTAATTTCAATGGGTCTCCTCTAACATTGGATACAACCCGATAGGATCAAAGGGCAAAATTTTGAGCTGATGGGGTTAGGAGGTTGCTTTTGAGGAATATCTGTCCCTTCCCCTTTATACTGCAAATCAAAACCACACAGGCCATAAGAGGAGCCTGGCTGCTGGATCAGAGCAAAGACCCACCGCATCCAGAATTCTCTTTCCTTAGGGGCCAACCCAGTACCCCAGTGGGAAGCCCACAAGCTGGGCATGAGGACAGCCCTCTCCCCACTTGAGATTCCCAGCCTCTGGTTATTCAGAGACCTACTTCCTCCAAGAGGGGGGGGAGGAGAACAAAGCCACTGTGACTTGTCACCATTGGTGGTCTTGTGCTCCATGAGTTTGTCTAACTCCCTTTCAAAGCCATCCAAGTTGGTGACCCTCAGTTCCTCTTGCAGATATGAATTCCATCGTTTACAGGCTGTGTGGAGGAAGGACTTTCTTTTATGGGTCCTGAATATTCCAATATTCTGCTTCACTGGTTGTCCCCAAGTTCTGGTGTTAGGAGATGATATCCACCTCTACCAGGAATGCAATTCTAGCCCGCACTGGAGTCTGGCAACCACTTCCCCTCAGGGGTATTGAGGTCCTCATTCTGATTTCTTTGCCTTTGTCCACACAGTTCCACCCAGAGTGAAGCTGGAAGCCAACCCAGCCAACCCCGTCCCGCTGAACGAATCAGTGACCTTCAGCTGCAGCGCAGAAGGGTTTTACCCAGAAGACACAACCTTGGCCTTGACTCTGAACAGCAGCCTGAGTGAAACAGGAACGGCTGAGCCCATGGCGCAGAACGGGGATGGGACATTCACCCTCAGGAGCTCCCTGAAGCTGAATGCCACGGAAGAAAGGAACCAGTCTGCATTTACTTGCCTGGTTATGCAAAACTCTCAGCCTGTAGCGACTGAAACGTCAGTGCTGAACATCAGGGTGCTGACTGAAGGAAGTGAAAGCGTCAGTATGGAGCCAGGTAGGTGTTCACCTGTCCTCCGCCCCTCGATCCGTGTTGACTTAAATTTCTCATTTTTGTCTGTCTCTCTGTGTCTAGGCCTTCTTGCCTTCAGACCTCTTCACACCCTAACGGGCAGCAGCTATAGCTCACAGGAAAAGCAGCCACTCTGCATGCAATAGATCCAAGTTTCAATCTCCAACATTTCCTGGTAGAGTCATGGGTTTCCTGGACAGTCACTGCCAGTGAACGTGGACCAGATGTGAGGAACTTTTAGCCCTCCACCTGTTGCTGAACTACAGCTTCCATCTGCCCCAGCAAGCATCACCAATGGCCAGGGATGATGGGAGTTGTAGTTCAGAAACATCTAGGGGGCCAAAGGTTCCCCACACCTGGGATAGAGCAAGGGTTTAAAAAGTGAGATTGTGGTTAGCTTTCAGGGGGGATGTGTGGGGTTTTGGTGCTGCCTGTTTGTTTGTTTGTTTGTTTGTTTGTTTGTTTGTTTGTTTGTAGGGTAGGTGTCCTGCCTGTTTTGGAGGGGGAACCTGAGCATCGCCAGCATTTTTTTGTGGGAAAAATGTGTGTGTTTTTGGTGCCCATTACACACTTCCATGGCCCTAAGCTCAAAAGGTTTGGAGGACTGTAGAGTGTCCAGGCCTGGAGGGACCAGTGAAATGACTCCACCTAAGGCTGCTTCATATACTCCTATGTAGACTTCCTCTCCTGTCCCCCAGGGAGGAACCCTTGCTAAACCCCACCAGATGCCTGCTAAAAACTTTTCCTTTTGTATCAGCAAGGCTTTCCAGACTCAAAATTCAGTTACGTGTCCTTGTTTTCAATATTTGCTTGTTTTCTCTGGGCGTTGTTGCTAAGTGCTTTATATTAATTAATTAATAAATAATATAATAAATTTTTATTTATGCCCCGCCCTTCCCAGTTCAGAAAACCAGGATCAGGGCAGCTAACAACAAATTTAAAACACTTAATTGATGCAAAAAAAAACCCCAGCATAAAATACAGTATAAAACGTGAGTAACAATAAATTCAGAATTCAAAAATCAATTTAGGGGGAAAATCCACCCAATAAACATTAGATGATCACCAGGGCTAGCTGGCTAAATTAGTCCTATTTGGGCCAGCAGGGAGACAAGGGAAGAATTAGCTGTGGGATCCCAAAGCAGGTATTAAAAAGGGGAAGGGAAGGAAGGAAGGAAGGAAGGAAGGAAGGAAGGAAGGAAGGAAGGAAGGAAGGAAGGTGCATAAAAAAGAAGGCTAAGTTCAAATTGAAAGCCATATTGTTTTATGTACACCTGCCTTCGGGAGAAGAAAAGGCCAAGGGGTAAACCCTACGCAAATCTGGAGTGGAGATCCTAAGATGGGTTGGTTGGCGCCTTGTACACCTGCTTCCAATGGGACGCGGGTGGCGCTGTGGGTTAAACCACAGAGCCTAGGACTTGCCGATCAGAAGGTTGGCGGTTCAAATCCCCATGACAGGGTGAACTCCCATTGCTCGGTCCCTGCTCCTGCCAACCTAGCAGTTCAAAAGCACGTCAAAGTGCAAGTAGATAAATACCCGTATTTTTCGCTCTATAACACGCACCTGACCATAACACGCACGTAGTTTTTAGAGGAGGGAAATCCGTAGGCATGCCACCCGTAGGCCTTCCCTCCATAACACGCACAGACATTTCCCCTTACTTTCTAGGAGGAAAAAAGTGAGTGTTATGGTGCAAAAAATACGGTAGGTACTGCTCCGGCGGGAAGGTAAACGGCGTTTCCGTGCGCTGCTCTGGTTCGCCAGAAGCGGCTTAGTCGTGCTGGCCACATGACCCGGAAGCTGTACACCGGCTCCCTCGGCCAATAAAGCGAGATGAGCACTGCAACCCCAGAGTCAGCCGCAACTGGACCTAATGGTCAGGGGTCTGAGCCTACTTTAACCCTACTTTTACCTTTACACCTCCCTCCAGCGGCCAAGCTGGTGCTGAGTGTCTTGCTCTGCTTCCTTTGGACCCCACCAGTGAGGCTGAGGGGGGGTCATGTCATCTGGGCAGCCCAGGACCTCTATACACGCTGCCCAGGCTTGCGCCCCAGAGAGGTCACTTTGGTGCTGCTAAGGACAAGGTCTGACTTCAGTCCTAGAGGCAAACTCCATTGTCTCTCAAGACAGACAGGTGCCAACAAAAAAACTCCTAAAGTTGTTGTTATTATGCAGTTTGTAATTCCCCCGATAAAGGGATTGGTCCTTCTAGCCTAGTATTGTCCACACTGACTGGCAGTGGCTCTCCTGGGTTTCCAGCATGAGTCTCTCACAGCCCTGCCTGGAGATGCTGGCGGGGATTGAACCCAGTACCTTCTGCATGCAAAGCAGATGCTTTAAACCACTGAGCTACGGAGTTGGGGAAGCAGGACGCCAGTTGCCAGCTAAATCAATGCTATCTCTTTGCAGATGAGAAGAAAATCTACATCATCAGCGCCGTGGTTTGTGCCCTCCTGGTGGTATTGGTGGTGACCATCATCTACTTCATCCATGCAAGGCATAACAAGGGTAAAAAGAATATTTGTTGCATGTGTGTTGTAGAATTGGGAGTCCAACCCCCTGCAATGCCATTGGGTCAGTTGGGTCCAGTTCAGATCGCCCACAGAGGTACATAGAGGCACACAAACTGGATGAACTGTTGGCCCTGCATGGGGTCCCTACCCCCAATGCCATGGCTATGGGACCCATCATCATGGCACTTGCCATCCTTGGCCTCTTGTGATCCCATCGACAGTCGGCTCAAGTTCATTCCACTGAGTGACCTAATTGGACTTTGGGGTCTCTCTGACTCAATGCATAATTCGATAGGAATTTGCTGGGTCGTATGTCGCCCGTACAAATAAATATGGGTTTTCTTTTGAAAGTGTCAGCAAGGAAAGTTTTGGGAGAAAGTGAGAATCTGGCAGTTCTAATTATTGAGTATTTAACTGGTGGCAAAGAGGAGGGAGAAGACTTGTGAAGGTGCTATTCCTGATGCTGTGGGAGGTGAGGGAGCAGGCTGCCTCATGGTTGGGTTAACTGGCACCCTGGCATCTGCTGAAGATCATGTTATGATCACCTGGCTTTGCTTGATACAGATGTACAGAGGAAGGTGGTGGTTGAAAGGGACTGACAGTCAGAGAATATTTGGGGGCTGTTGGGACAGAGGAATGGTCAACGTAAGAAGAACCAAGAACCTGTAGAGGAGAGGGCTCTTGTGCCTGGGTCCTGCTTCCTGGTTTCCCACTGTGAGAACAGGATCCTGGACTAGATGAGCCATTGGCCTGATCCAGCAGGCCATTCTTATGTTCTGGCAGCTAGTTCGGCCAAAAGGACAACCTAGTCCACCATCTGGTTCTCACAGCGCCAACCATAGACTCACAAGCAAGACCCCTGGGTGTTCTCTGACACTGGGCAAAGTTGATAGCCACCGTGCCTTGCCCTCCGTGAATTAGCACGATCCTCTTTTGAAGCCACCCAGGTTGGTGGTGATCATCTTGGCAGAGTCAGTTTCATAGTTTGACTAAGTGCCATGTCTGATGTGATGAAGCATCTCCTTTTATCTCTCCTGGATCTTCCAACACAGCTTCAGCAGATGGTCTTCTGAGCCCTTCTCAGCAAGGGAAAGGTATCACTACTTGTGCCTGTCTCTGTTTTCTCCTGCTGGGCAATAATTCCTTGCATGGTGGAAGGTGGGAGAGATTTTAATTTAGCAAACAAGTGTTTGAAAGAGTTATGCCCAATATCACGGTCTCCAATAGTGCAGATAGGTCTAAAGCTCCAGCAATATTTGCACACAGACACACCCCAGGAGTAGTGGTCCAACCCAGCCTACCACCTCCTCAGCCTCCCTCCCTCTCCATCACTATGTTGTGGTGCTCAGAGACTGGTTTCCACCTCCACGACCAGCATGGAGAGACTTCAAGCTTCCTGAATCGACTTGGTTGTTCCCTCCCACCTCCTCTGAGAGCTTCGGCAACAAAGCCAGGCCCACAGAGGTTCTCAGAGGACTGGAGTAGATATTTGAACTATTTGAAAAGCAATTGTAATAAACAGATTACGCTAGCAGGACTGCAAGAAGTTTTGTAAGGAGGACTATGCGAAATATCGCAGAGAAGATTATGAAGAGAATTATTAGTTAAGGATTATTAAAAGTAATAAGGAAATGAATGAAATGTAGATTAAGGGATCAAGATTGAAAAGTCTTCAGGTGTGGTTGATGGAAGTCCAAAACATTGTGTAAGATAAGAAAATATGTTATATGATCTTTGGGAATGATATGTAAAAATCAAGAAAAATATAATAATAATAAAAAACAAACAAAAAAACAAAAAAAACAAAGCCAGGTCCAAAATAAGAACTGGGACGTGGTAGGCCAAAATATAAAATGGGGCAAACTTGATTATATGCTCATGAGCTACGAAATTGAGAAGAGCTGTGTAAAAAAGCACAAAATTACCTTCTGAATTATGAGACACAGCAGAACAGGGAGTCTTAACTCAGACAGGGGGAGGTTGTTTTGTTGTCGCTGTTGTGAAATGATTGGGAGAAGCCCATCCATCCACACAAACACACACTTGGCAGGGTCTGCATCTATAGTGGGACAGGCATTGCTTGGAACCCAGGTAAAAATATATATTCCATCTTACGTGGGATTTTTTTCTTCTTCTTCTTTTCTCTAGATAAAGAGCCCACATCTGTGAGGTAAGTCTGGGCTTCGGCTTTGAACAGGAAACTAACAAACGAGTGTAACGGTTAGAGTTTGGGTGGCTGGCTGGTTGTGTCTACCAGCTCCATTTAGCAAAACCTTCCTCTGGCTTTTTTACTCGCATCATCAAGGTTCCTTCTTCTGTTGAGCAAACTGAGAGATGAGGAAAGAATTTCCATTGGGAAGGAAATTGCAGGAGAATTTTCAGCAGTGCACATTCCCCTTGCAGGTCCAAGAGGCCTCAGCAGAGGACTTAAGAAGCAGGAAGTGGCGCCATTTATTTTATTTTATTGAAGAAACAACTGTGTTAGGCTTGCCTTTTACTCTCTGGTGATTTGTTTGACTTTCTTTGTCCATTTTTCTTTAGGCTGCACGAATCTGAGAAGGCTTCTGGGGGAGCAAATCAGGTAAGTTCTTCTAAATTTCTTCAGATGTTGAGCGGAGGCAATGGTTGAAGATGGCACACTATTGCTCCTGCTCTTGTGCCGGCAGTGTTGGTGTTTGAAGCCAAGTGCACATGAAATTAGCCATTAATCCACCTGTACCCTGTAGTTTCCTGAGAAATGCCTCTGTTTGATGCACTTTCCGTCCAATGAACTTCCATCTGATTAAAAGCCGAAGCCGCAGTGAAGCTGAGGTGTGTCCGTTTGAGATAGCCATTGCACATGAGCAGGTTAGAGCACATGCATAGATGGCAGCTTCATCTGGAGTTTGGTGCAGGGAGACAAGACAGGTAATTATAGATTCCTAGAACTATAGAATTGGAAAGGACCTCAACGGTCATCTACCTGTAGTCCAACACCCTGCAATTCAGGAATCTCAACTAACGCATTCAGGACAGATAGCTATCCAGCCTCTGCTTAAAAACCTCCAATGAAGGAGAGTCAAACAGCTCTTACTGTCAGAAAGTTCTTCCTGGTGTTTAATCTCCTTTCTTGAATCCATTGGTTCAGGGCCAGAGCAGGAGAAAACAAGCTTGCTCCCTCTTCCCTGTGACAGCCCTTGAGATATTTGACGATGGCTATCGTATCTCCTCTCAGTCTCCTCTCTTCCAGGCTAAACATATCCAGCTCCTTCAACCGTTCCTTATCAGGCTTGGTTTCCAGACCCATTGATCGTCTAGATCACCCTTTGGGCAGATCTGTCAATTTCAGATATTAAATTCAGTTTAAGAGCGAAAGAAAGAAAGAAAGAAAGAAAGAAAGAAAGAAAGAAAGAAAGAAAGAAAGAAAGAAAGAAAGAAAGAAAGAAAGAAAAGCATCTGCTGGATCAGTGGCTGACCAGATGCCTGCAGAAAAACACATTTCCTCATCAGTGAATCCCTCACTAAAATTCATCAACTCTTTAGTGCTCATTTATTCTAATTTATCCTAATTCGCACTTTATCCTAATATGAGAGTGCATAATAATATAGTGCATGATAATGACATCCACTGTATCCTAATCTGCCCATTTTTGCATGGCATTTTGCTGACATACACACTTTCGCAAAGCAGTCTTCACTGGTGATAGACATTTCTATACACCCTTTCCCCAAATATCTTTATGCAGGCTTTTTTTTTGTTGGAGTAATGCATCGCAAAATTTGGAGAGAAGTGTGACTTTCACAGGATAGATGCCTTTCGGTGTGCTTGCCATTTCAGGGAGTGCAAGATTAGGGAGGTTCGCATTGACATGTAAACCAATCCGAATTCCTCCGCTTCACCCCCAGCCTCAGAGGAGTGCTAGGTGTGTTCTGAAGTTCACTCTCCAAGAGACTCAGGATACAAGCTCTCAGAATACTTAGAATTAGCCAAATTGACAGATATAATAAGACAAAAACCAAAACGTGAAGTAAAAAAAGAATGGGAGTGCCTAAATGAATACCTCAAAAGTCAAGGTTCGAGGGCAGAAATCTGGCTGAGTCTGGAATAACCTTGTGAAGTGAAAGGATATGAAAGAAGGATTTATATTTAGATGTTAGGATAGAGAGGATAAAGAAAACAGGAAGACAGAATGAGGGATAAAGGAGGTGCTGTGGGAATGGTGGAAGTCAATGTCTTGTTGTTTTAGTGTTTATAATATTAACTTGTAAGATATGGATTTGTTTGGGTTTTTTGTTTTGGTTTTGTTGTTGTTTTTAGTTTTTGAATGTTGATTTTTGTGTGTTGTGTATTGTTACTTTTTGAAATCTTTCGTGTTGTTGTTGTTGTGTGGAAAATACTATTAAAATTCATTAAAAAATAAAAAATAAAAAGAGACTCAGGATACTGTGAGGTGCAAGAAACAGGGTGAGCAAACTGAGTGCCCCAGAATTCTCTGCCAAGCACAGGGGTTCCATGTTGAACCAGCTGGTATGAGAATATTCCCTGAAGTTTTCATATTTTTAAAAAATTTGAATCCACTTTCCAAAAAGGTCACCTTCTGGGGAGGCTAGAGTAAAACAATCACCCTTTTCCTATAGCGATCACAGGCTTATAGGGTTAGAGTCATAGAGTGGTAGATTTTAAAGGGACTTGTCTAGTCCAACTCTCTGCAGTGCAAAAAATCTCAGCTGAAGAATCTCTGTCCGAATGCTGATTAAAAATCTCTAATGAATGAGAGTCCACCAGCTTTGAAGGGAGCCCATTCCTATATCCATTTAAGTCAACGTGCCAGCAGAATGGTTTTCCTTTCCTCTCCTCTTCCCTCCCCCAAAAATCTGCCCTGGGGAACAGTTCCTCCAACCTTCCAGAGCAGATTTGACCGAGGGACGGACGCACCAGAACAGAGGAGAGGGAAAGGAAGTTCTGTTGGCCTTCTGCAATGGGATTGTAACCCGCCCTGAGGCCTTAGGGTGAAGGATGCACAAACAATAATAATGTTACGCAATCTCCGAGGGGTGAAACACCCAGGGATTCTGGGCACTTGCCCAGGTTTGGTGTCTTTGGAATGAAGGTCAAGAGGAGACTGCAGTGTCTTTTGGATATATGGTTTTATTTACCATATGAGTGTCTGGAGGCGGCTGGAGAATGGATGGTGGCTAACAGATTGAGGATGAATCCCAACAAGACAGAAGTACTGTTTTGGGGGGACAGGAGGCATGCAGGTGCGGAGGACTCCCTGGTCCTGAATGGGGTAACTGTGCCCCTGAAGGACCAGGGGCGCAGCCTGGGAGTCATTTTGGACTCACAGCTGTCCATGGAGGTGCAGGTTAATTCTGTGTCCAGGGCAGCTGTTTATCAGCTCCATCTGGTACGCAGGCTGAGACCCTACCTGCCCATGGACTGCCTCACCAGAATGCTGCATGCTCTGGTTATCTCCCGCTTGGACTACTGCAATGCGCTCTACGTGGGGCTACCTTTGAAGGTGACCCAGAAACTGCAATTAATCCAGAATGTGGCAGTTAGACTAGTGACTGGGAGCGGCTGCCAAGACCACATAACACCGGTCCTGAAAGACCTACATTGGCTCCCAGTATGTTTCTGGGTACAATTCAAAGTGTTAGTGCTGACCTTTAAAGCCCTAAACGGCCAGTGTGGTGTAGTGGTTAAGAGCGGTAGACTCATAATCTGGTGAACCGGGTTCACGTCTCTGCTCCTCCACATGCAGCTGCTGGGTGACCTTGGGCTAGTCAAACTTCTCTGAAGTCTCTCAGCCCCACTCACCTCACAGAGTGTTTGTTGTGGGGGAGAAAGGGAAAGGAGAATGTTAGCCGCTTTGAGACTCCTTCGGGTAGTGATAAAGCGGGATATCAAATCCAAACTCTTCTTCTAAACGGCCTCAGCCTAGTATACCTGAAGGAGCATCTCCACCCCCATCGTTCTGCCCGGACACTGAGGTACAGTTCCAAGGGCCTTCTGGCGGTTCCCTCACTGCGAGAAGCGAAGTTACACGGAACCAGGCAGAGGGCCTTCTCGGTAGTGCCACCCGCCCTGTGGAACGTCCTCCCACCAGGTTTCAAACGAAAAAACAACTACCAGACTTTTAGAAGACATCTGAAGGCAGCCCTGTTTGTTGTTGTTGTTTAGTCGTTTAGTCATGTCCAACTCTTCGTGACCCCCTGGACCAGAGCACGCCAGACACTCCTGTCTTCCACTGCCCCCCGCAGTTTGGTCAAACTCATGCTGGTAGCTTCGAGAACACTGTCCAGCCATCTCGTCCTCCATCGTCCCCTTCTCCTTGTGTCCTCCATCTTTCCCAACATCAGGGTCTTTTCCAGGGAGTCTTCTTCTCATGAGGTGGCCAAAGTATTGCAGCCTCAGCTTCACAATCTGTCCTTCCAGTGATCACTCAGGGCTGATTTCCTTAGGGAATCTTTTAATATCTGAAGGACTATTGTATTTTAATATTTTGTTGGAAGCCTCACAGAGTGTATGGGGAAACTGGTGTCTCCACCTGGCAGCTAAGTGATGTGAAGGCACCTCTTTGCCCATCACTCAGTTGTCGCTCTTGCAACCTAGCTCATTCTTTTGGGATGCTGATGACGACACGTAAGTGTCCAGCAAAGGTCATTTTCATATGAAGAAACCTCTCGTGACTAGCTCAGCAAACTCCACTTGTCAGATTAACCTCACTGGGTACAGGACCCCACGACAAAGAAGGGACTCAGGGCATCATCCAGACTGGCACCCCCAAAAAACCTACAATAACAACCCATAGTACAATCAGGAAAGGGTTTTCCAAAAAAGGAGGGTTTGAGAGGAGGCCCTGCCTGCCGTTCCATGGCAGAACCCCTGTTTTTATTTGCAGAAAGCCTCCAGATAAATCCTTGGCTTTTCCAGTTAAAGAATTTCAGGTAAAACACCTGCCAGGAAGCTGATGCCACTCAAAACAACCTTTATTGGCCTTGGTGGATTATTTCTGTGACTCTGGCAGCTTCGTCCCTCCGTTGGCTTGTTTGCAGGAATTTGTCCCTTCGTCATTCTTTTCTGGAAAACTGTGCTTCCGTGTCCCCGCATCTGTATCCCGTGCTTCCAAGGCAACATTTGCACTCCCACCCCCTAGACAATAAGGACTAGAACCCTGCTTTGTCTGCGGCGCAGTCTCTCCCCCGCCGCCTTACAACAGGGATTGTAACCACCGCCCTTGAAGACTTGCTGACGGCCACCCTTTTCTGTTGTTGACGTTCTTGTTTGTTTCCTTCGCAAAATAATCACAAAGTGTCGCTCCCTTCTGAAAAGGCCCAGCTGCACAGCAGCCAGGCGAGGGCTTATTTTTAGAGGCCCCCTTTTGTGTGGCGCGATTGTGCGATTTCGCTGAGCAAACCAGGCCCCCTCCGCCCTGCGCGTGGCTGTTTTTCTTCCAGCCTCGTAGCTGCTCACGTACGTACACAGCTGTCTTTGCATCGGGAAGATGTCATTCCTTTGGGACAATGGGAGAAGTGATGTCTATAGCTTCATCTAGGCTGCCAAAAACCCTAAACCCAGTCTAATGCTCACATTGCTCTGTGTGCGTGTGTGTGTTTAATAATTATTCTGAATTCATAGCAGCTGTTCTTGCATCTCCCAGCACCCCCAGTAAGATTCCTTTTATTTATTTTTCCTTTGGAGCCAGTCTTGCAAAAACAACAGATCACGTGGTGAAATTGTTCCTGAGCCGAAGCATTTTCAGTCCACAGGTGGGGGGCAGGGCAGGCATGTGGTGCTGCCCCTTTGGAGAAAGGGGGGAAAGAAATCCCTGCACATAGATATCTAGCTGGTCAGGGAGGAGGCTAAACCGGGAGGCCGTCCCCTACATCTCTAATTAAGAAAAAGCACACTCCGCCACTCTGCAAATTGCTTTGTTAAATATTTAAAAAGTGGCTCGCACAGTTTAAATTGAATCAGACGGTATGAAACTAATTTTGCCATTCCGTTAATTAGTTTGTTAATTTTTTTTTTTAAAAAAAGGCTTGCGGACTCTTAAACAATTAAGCAATTAAAACAAATAAACCTGCTGAATTGAAAGTTATTGACACCTATTAAATTAAGACAGATAGAGATGGATAGGGCTTCAGGAAATATGTTGGGGCAGAGTCTCTGCCCCACTGCGAACCTGGCCTGGCAGCAGTGGTGTTACAGCCCGGGACCCTGGGCGGGCGAGGGCAGGGTGTTCAGAAACAGCAGCACAAACCATCTGGCACTCCCACTGCTGCTCTAGAACCACATTGACCTGCCGCTGCCTGCCTCCTCCTGGCCACTGCGACAGGCAAGCGTGAAGGCAGCAGCTGTAGTGGTAGGGCAGCCAGACGCAGAGGAGGACAAGGCAGGAGGCAACATCTTGTGTTTCACCTGAAGCAGCAAAATGTCCTGGACCAGCCCTGGTCTCACCATCCCAGTAGATGGTAGATGCCAGGCTGCCAGGTCTTCAGAGTCTACCCTGCTCACCAGCCGCTCCTGGGATTGGTCACTGCCAGAAACAGGATGCCAGACGAGAAGGACTTTTTGACCTGATGGGAAGTGGCTGCCTTGTGGATCAGACCTTTGGTCCATCTAGGTTGGTATTTCCTTCCCTGATTGGCAGCAGCTCTCCAGCTCTTTGAGGAAGGGAATCTTTCCCAGCACTTCTTGGAGATGCCAGGGATTTAACAACAACAATTATAATAATTATAATTTTATTACTTACACCCCGCCCATCTGACTGGCTTGCCCCAGCCACTCTGGGCGGCTTCCAAGACATATAAAAACATAATAAAACATTAAAAACCTCCCAACAGAGGACTGCCTTCAGGTGTCTTCTAAAGGTTGTATTGTTACTTATCTCCTTGACGTCTGATGGGAGGATGTTCCACAGGGAGGGCGCCATTACTGAGAAGGCCCTCTGCCTGGTTACCTGTAATTTCACTTCTTGCAATGAAGGAACTGCCCAAAGGTGGTGGACTTCTGTGTCTGGGCTGAGCAATGGGGGTGGAGAAGCTCCTTCCGGTATACAGGGCCGAGGCCATTTAGGGCTTTCAAGGTCAGCACTAACACTTTGAATTTTGCTCAGAAACATACTGGAAGCCAATGTAGGTCTTTCAGGACCAGTGTTATGTGGTCTCAGTGGCCACTCCCAGGCACCAGTTTAGCTGCCGCATTCTGGATTACTTGTAGTCACCTTCAAAGGTAGCCCCACATAGAGCGCATTGCAGTAGTCCAAGCGGGAGATAACCAGAGCATGCAGCACTCTGGTGAGACAGTCCGTGGGCAGGTAGGGTCTCAGCCTGCATACCAGATGGAGCTGGTAGACAGCTGCCCTGGACACAGAATTGACCTGCACCTCCATGGAGAGCTGTGAGTCCAGAATGACTCCCAGGCTATGCACCCGGTCCTTCAGGGGCACAGTTACACCATTCAGGACCAGCAAGTTCCTCCACACCTGCCCTCCCCCTGTCCCCCCAAAACAGTACTTCTGTCTTGTTGGGATCCAACCTCAATCTTTGAGCTGCCATCTGTCCTCCAACTGCCTCCAGACACTCATACAGGACAATCACTGCCTTCACTGGTTCCGATTTAAAGGAGAGGTAGAGCTGGGTATCATCCAAAACAGTGCTTCTGTCTTTGGACCTGAGACCTTCTGCCTGCAAAGGAAGATGCTCTGCAACAGTGCTGCGGCAGGTTCCCATGGTCCCGCGGGCCTTCTCTCGTGCTTCTTACTGACTTCTCCCTCTCCTTCTTGCCTCCTCAGGAGCCTGATCCCAACAACGTCACCTATGCAGACTTGAACTTCGAAAAGACGTCCAAGAAGAACCCCCAGCAGGTGGTCGAGATCAGCCAGCAGTCTGAATACGCCAGCATCCAGACTGTCCCGCCAGCGCCCAACGACGAGAACGTTACCTATGCAGATTTGGACATGGTCCACCTAAGCAAAGCTCCCAAGAGACCTGCCCCGCAGCCGGAGGAAACCAGCTCAGAATACGCCAGCGTACAGGTTCGGGGCAAGTGATCCCTGGCTGACGCCGTCAGCTCTCTGTGGCTTGCCGGCCCTCTTGCGGGGTTGTCGGAGACCTCCCTTGCTGGGGTTCGATCCTTGGCCTTGTCTCCAGACTGGGTCTCAACTGAGGAGCAGTGGGATTTGCCTGCCAAGGAGCGGTTCCTGCAGTTTCTTTGAGTGGAACTTAATGTACGTAGCCAAGGTCAAGGAGGAAACTAATTGGTGCTACACACAATTGCATCCTGGTACTTGGGCTAGTTCATGGTGCCTCTTCATCACCTGGTTATCAGGTGGACGGGAGGTGCCTAGACCAACTAAGGATCTAACACAGCTTTTATCACTGGGACCATAACTCTCTTCTTTCGATTCATCCAAACACGTCGCACGGAGCAAGTGGCGAGTTGTCACCTTGGAGGCAGGCGGGCCTCTCTCTTCAGCTTTGGCCAGCTAAAGGCCTTCTCTCCACTTCCTTCTGGGACAACCAAACCCTCTCAGATGCCACCTTGAGAAGCTTTTCTTTTCCCTCACGGGGACTGAACAAAACCAAGTTGGCAGCCCCAGCTAGCTCTGTGGGGTGGGAAGAAGCAAGTGGACACTACCCACATCAAGACTTGGTGGAAACACCCACTTCCCCAGGTCCTTCTGGGAAGAGGAGGAGGAAGAGGAGAAGCCTGCTTTCTTGCTCATGATGGCATCTGATTCACTTTGTATCTCTCTAGTCCACAGATATATTTTCCTCCCTCTCCCCCTGACAGTACGTCTTGGGACAGTGCCTCTTGGAGATACAGCGGCTTGTTCTGGGCTAGCAGTTGCCAACCTGGTGTCCGCATGATGTTTCGGACTTTGACTCCCATCACCTGTTGATCTTGGTGGAGGTTGCCGTCCAAAGACATCTGGTGGCACCAGGCTGGTGAAGGCTGTTCCATGACAACCCATCGATCTTGCCTAACCCCAGGGGCCGATCTCTGGCAAAGCCAAATCTGTAGAACGCATTTTAGGTGTGTCAATCTGCTCCTCATTTTTATTTCTTTTTAATCCGCCTTTTTTATTTCATCCCTACGTGTGTCTAGAATTGGGGAGGGGTGACCTTGGACGTGTCTTGCAGCCTCTGTGATAGGCCTTAGGAAATACGAAGCCACGTTGAAGAATCTTGTCCGCTCCCATGTTCTGCCTGGTTCCTCGGCTGACCCCTCCCAGATTTGGCTAAGTAGGGGCAGCAACCTTCACAACAGAACTAAGGCCTGCAAGAGGTGTGTGAGTGTGTGTGTGTGTGTGTGTGTGTGTGTGTGTGTGCGCGCTTCTGAAAGCTGATTTTTGCCGCCGCCACCACCACTGTTGTGTGGTTAGAGAAGAGAGAGCTTCCAAGCCAGCCATTCTCCATCCTGGCAGATCTCCATCCGCTCGTATCTTTCCTGCAAAGCCACTCCCTAACACAACACAAACACACTCACAAGCCCAACCTGCTACTCTGCTTGGGCTCCACCATGGCTCGTTTTTCTTGCGGCCATTTTGGGTCCGTTATCAATGTTGTTTTGCACAGTTCACAAATGTGCAGTAGCCCCAAGCAGACATTGGGGGTGCCCCACCGCAGGGGAACAGCAGTGAGTGATCATGGGGCAATGACTGTTGATAGAGGAGAGGAAAGGTGGTTTTGGGTGGATGCCAGTAGAGTGGCTTAGCTGGACTGATGGCCCAGCGGGGGCACCTTACTGGGAGCGGGTGGGGCGAAACTTCTCACGAGGCTACTAAAACAGGCAGCTCATTGCAAGTTTAGAGTTTACACCTTTTGGCAGCCCAGATTGCTCCCGCCCTCCCCATGATCTCACCCCCCGCCATGCCAAGGGAACCTCCTCTTACCTTTCAGTCTTTCCTTCTTGGCTGAATCCATGCTGTTGTCCTCCCTTCCTCTGGTGGTCTTGCTCACTTTTCTTTCCGAAAGAGCCTTTGGGGTTGGGGTTGGGGGAGCACTTGGGATAAGGAATAGCACCTCTCTGCCCCCCATGGGAAGTAGGGCTGCCCCCACCCCACCCTGCCCGAAACACCGTCGTACCACCTGTGTTGACTGTTCAGCATTATAACTGTTTACTCCTTTTAGAACTAAAAAAAAAACGAGGAAAAAATACCAGTATTTGTGTGTGTTCTTTGTAAGTGGGTGTAGTACTGTGTACTTAGCACTAGTGTGACAAGCACAAAAGCAAAGTTTAAAAAGGGATAAAGTGCTGGGGAAGAGAGAGGGGGTCTCTTAAAACTTGTCCTCTCCCCCATGGTGACATGACCCACCATAACCTACCCTGTGTGACTCCTGCTGCCAGTAACCAAAATTCCTCTTCTTGTTTTTATTTTATTTTATTTGTGGCTCTGTGTTCCTTTTAAAACAAAACAAAAAACTAAGGCAATTTAGGAACTAACTGGCACTCTGCGGAAACAGAAGGAAGTGGGGGAGCGAGAACAGGAGGCAAGGGTTGCAGAGAAGTGACGTCTTCCAAATTCTCTACTGCAGATCTTCCTACCTTAAGTTTGACCCAAGCGGATTACGAGATCCAGGATGAAGGCAATCGAAACTCGGAAGAGTTTAGCCCGATTTGCTAATTCTTTAGCAAGATGAGCAAATCTCGATGGGTTTCACATTGAAAAGACACAGGGCAGGCCTCTCTTGTCACTTCCGTGTCTCAAAAATGTGCCAGTGTCTTCTGGTGGAGACACAAAGTGGAACCATCCAAGAGCACCTTCTCCTTTTTCCAGAAGGTGCCTATTCACAATGACGCTTCGGGACACGGGAGCAACTCCTCCTTGGGTCAGTAAAGCAGGGATGGGTGATAATTGTGATAATTGTGACCCTCCTGATGCACTTGGACTCAAAACTCCCATCAGCCCCATCCAACATGGCCAGTGGGCTGATGGGAGTTGCAGCCCAGAAGCAATGGAAGGACCACAGTTTCCTTCACCCTTGCTCAAAATAAATGTGTGATGGGAAGAGTTTTGGGACACTGATGACATTGCGCTTAAAATTAAAAAAAATAAAATGCCCGTAGGCACTTGTATTGCTAATATGAGAAAGGGGAGGTATGAGTGTGGTTTGGGCAGATACGGTTCTGGGAACGGCAAGCCATGGTGGCATCTCACCCTTCTGAGGTCACTTAGACAAGTCCTTTCGGCCACATTCTCTTGGTTCCTTCCGTACACCATGCATAAGGACATCGAGGCCAAAGCCAATGGTTCAGGAGGCAAACAGCCGCTGTCCAAAATGGCAGTCACACGTTCACAACTCTCCTCTCCCTCAGTAACTTACCCTCCAACTTAAGACCTGTACTGACATCTTAAGACCTGTACTGATGCTCTATGGTTCCTCATATGGTTCCATCGCGATGCTCTATGGTTCCATCATTGGCTGCTGGAAGATGCAGGTTGCCATGACACCAGGATGTTCGTAAGCTAGCTGGGTGTTATTTGAGAGATGAGGAGGAAGGAAGACCTCTGGCTGCCATTTTTGGCTTCCACAGCTTCTCCTGACATTTACTTTGGTCCTTAGTCAAGGCAGAAATGTCATACCAGCTTCTCGGTTCCTCTGTTTCCAAACACTCCACTGCCACCCTCCTCCTCAGCGGTGTCGGATGGGAATGTGTAGAAGTTCAGTGGTACCCTAGCTTGGGAGATGGAATGCCAAGAGCTTTAGCCCATAGTGGGAGGCTACAAACCACTCTATTGAGCCTAGTCTCTTGGCCCTGGTTTTGCAGGGAGGAAAATGGGACCAGGAAAAGAAAATAGAAAAATGAAGACGTATTGGGATATATTTGTTGTGGATCAAAAAAATTATAGGTGACTGTTTGTATGAATTGCACCTTAAGTTCGTTTGGGTTTTTTTGTTGTTTGTTTTTGTTTTTCGCTTGCAAGATATTTTTGTAATAAAAGCATTCAAAGTTCTGCACCAACCACGCATGTGTGTCAGTGGTGATAATAGAACTGGCTTCGGGTGGGTTGGTCTTCTGGGCAAAATATCAGATGTCTCCGGCTCTCTTGTTGGGGAAACAGAAAGCTAGTACTTGAGGAAAGTCCAGTATTGGTGGCCCACTCAAATACTTGAAGGCAGCAATTAAATATGAAAATAGCTGGTGTTGCAAAAAAGGAAGGGGAAAAAATCTGTCCAAGCACGAAGCAATAATTATCAAAAGAGGTAATCTACAATCACACGGGACTGTTATTAGGAATGGAAAGTCCAATTCCCAGATTGTTCTTCATGCTGAAGGAGAACAATAATTCTAATTATTATTGTATGGACTTTGGCGACAGCTGTGTTAGAGCGCGGAGTAATCATTTGACTACCAGCCATTGCTGTCATGGAACGCACAGTGGTTTGAGTTGGAGCTGTGCCTTGGTTACCCAACCACCCAAAAAAAATATGCAATTTTGATTTGAGTCTTTTTGAAATGCGCTTATACAAAAGCTTGACATAATTGTAGATTGCATCTGTTTGCATAATTACTGGCTTATGAACTGATAGATTTTTGCATTGCAGGTTATTTTCATATTTTGTTATGCATACGGCGCCAGCCAACCCGGCGCAACTTTTCCAACTTTCAGCAATTAGCAGTGTGAAGGCAGGTCCCTGCCCCTTGGAGCTTAAGGGTCTATATTTTGACAGTGGGCAAAGACAACTCATCAAAAGGCAGAGACTGGGATTCGGGAGAGGCAAGAAAGACGAACGAGGATTGAATGCGTACAGAGATGCAGTCTGGGCCTTGCTGTGCAAGGAGACGAGGTGAATCGTGGGGAAAGGGTTCAAGGATCTGAAGAGGGAGGCAGAGGAGCACCGTGAAGATGTCCTGGATGGGACTTCCAGGAATAAGAGAAAGCAAGGAGGCATTGGATAACACCATCCCAGAGACCACAAGGCAACTCTTGTTGTGATCCCTGGTGCCCTTTGGCCTGATCTTGTGTTGACTCAATTGTGGCCATTCTTGAATTGATGACTGCAGTCATACCTCATGTTACGTCCACTTCGTGTTACGTTCTTTCAGGTTACGTCCCGCGGCGACCTGGAAGTACCAGAAAGGGTTACTTCCAGCTTTCACCGCTCGCGCATGCGCAGACGCGCAAAATGACATCACGCGCATGCGCAGAAGCGGCAAATTGCAACCTGCGTGTGCACAGGCGCGCCGCTGAGGGTTGCGTTCTTTTCATGTTGCGAACAGGCCTCCGGAACGGATCCCGTTCGCAACCAGAGGTCCCACTGTACAGGGGATTTTGTTTATTTATTACATTTCTATTCCACCTTTCCTCCCAAAGAAATCAGGGTGGTATACGTACTCAGCCACCTCATCTTATCCTTGCATCCACAACCGCCCCTGTGAGGTAGGTTACGCAGAGTGTGAGTGCGCCAATTTGAACCCTGGTCCAACCACTGCTGGCTCCATCTTGTAGCACACCCCCACCTCTGGTCAAAGAAGAGTATTGCAAGGAGATCAGCCACACCCACCAAGGAAACCTGATCCTAATAGGCTAGACAGGTCAGGTGGTATCCCCTGGCTTCCTATAAAAGCTCCCCAGTGAGCTTGCTTGCTGTTCCAAGCAAACTAGGAGGTGAGCTCTGAGCTGGTCCCAGAGAGCTGCCATTTCAACCCAACTTCCAGATTCACACATCTTGGGGGGCTTGATGAGGAAATAGCATGCATCCTTAACCCATCTCCCCAAAGGCTTACACAAGCCTGTGGTCTTCCTCTCTTCCCCCCCCCACCCCCCGGGAACCTGATCAAGGGTTTGAGGAACTGAAAGGACTTTGGGGAAGGCGATGGTTATAATAAATGGCTTGTGACCTCTGAATGTTTGCATTCTGCTTCTGTTGGACTGCGAACAAAGGAGAAAAGCGAGAGCGGTGCCAACAAGGCTTTCTGAAATCATTTCTGGTATTTTGCACACAAATCTCTTAACACCTTGGATTCCATTAACCTTGACGGCTCCCGTGTTGGGTGGACCTGGCACAAAGGATTCCTTTGCCTAATCTTGAGTCAACGTGAACTCTTTATCCACACATTGACTAATTCATTTGCAATGTGTCTTAAATGCTTTGGATGTGTTGCTGCATCTAAATGCTGTTGCCTTTATCATTAGCTGCCTTCCTTTTGTCTCTGCAAGCATGGAGGTTAGGATGCTAATTATAAAAAAACACCTTCTTGGACCATGAAAATGCACCACAAAAATGCAACCCACCCAAGCCGTCTGTTGACATACAAACACTTTGCGGGCTTTGGTGAGGCAGCCTGGGTGTTAGAGGTGCACCTGAGCAAGATCTAGGTTTTAAGTGTGCCCACCTGAAGGAAAACTGGAGAGTTGGCTTCTTTTAAAATGAAGGAGAGAGACATGTGGTATCGTATGCTGGGAGGTCAGATTATTGCTCATGGAGAGGAGGAGACAGTCATTGGCCCATGCCCTGTCCAGCAGACAGAATAATACAGTGGTACCTCTGGTTGCGAATGGGATCTGTTCCAGAGGCCCGTTCGCAACATGAGCAGAACGCAACCCGTGTCTGCGCATGCACAGGTCACGATTCGCTGCTTCTGAGCATGCGCATGACATCATTTTGCACGTCTGCGCATGTGCAAGCGGCGAAACCCGGAAGTAACCCTTTCCGGTACTTCCGGGTTGCCGCAGGACACAACCTGAAAATGCTCAACCTGAAGCAAGCGTAACATTAGGTATGACTGTACAACTAAAGGCTGGCTTCAGGATGCTTTGAGGGATGGGACCTCAAAGCAAGGTGAGTTAAGAACATAAAAAGAGGTTGCTAGATCAGGCCAATGGCCCGTCTAGTCCAGAATCCTGTTCTCACAGTGGCCAGCCAGGTAGGGAAACCCGCAGGCAGGATTTAAGCACAAGAGCAACTCTCCCCTCCTGTGGTTTCCAGCAACTGGTGTTCAGAAGCACTGCTGCCTCCAGCTGAGCACAGCCTTTGTGACTAGTAGCCACCACTAGCCCTGAGCATCCCTGCAATGTTGCAAGACGTCCTGAAGCAGAGCTTTGGGGTGATGTGCTACACCAGGAGGGAGGCACCTGTGGCCATCCATATGTTGTGGAACAGCAACTCCAATGGGCCCCAGACAGCACGGCCAATGACACTTCTCTTTACCCGGGAAGCAGGGGTGGCCACCCATTTGGATGGCTCTAAAAGAGGATTGGACAACTTCAAGGAGGAGTGGCTCTCAGTGGCTCCTTGCCACAGTGGCTGTGCACTGTCTCATTGACCCGGCTTCACATCCTCCTTCAGCATTGGAAGGTTTGAGACAGATAAAGGAAAGTCCTCCTTCACTCAGTGCATTGTTAAACTGTGGAACTCCCTCCCACTGGATGGATGGCTTTAAAAGAGGGTGAGACAAATTCATGGAGGAGGAGAGGGCTACCGAAGGCTGCTAGCCATGGTGGCTCTGCGCAGTTTGAGACAACAATGCTTCAGAATATCAGTTGCTGGAAACTTCAGGGAGAGAAAGTGCTGCTGTGCCTGCAGGTAAAAAAGGTAAAGGACCCCTGGATGGTTAAGTCCAGTCAAAGGCGACTGTAGGGTTGAGGCACTCGTCTCGCTTTCAGGCCAAGGGAGCTGGCGTTTGTCCACAGACAGCTTTCCGGATCATGTGGCCAGCAGGACTAAACCACTTCTGGTGCACCGGAACACCATGACGGAAACCAGAGCACATGGAAATGCCGTTTAACCTTCCCGCCAGAGCGGTACCTATTTATCTACTTGCACTTTGACGTGCTTTCAAACTGCTAGGTTGGCAGGAGCTGGGACCGAGCAACAGGAGCTCACCCCGTTGCGGGGATTCGAACCGCCGACCTTCTGATCAGCAAGCCCTAGGCTCTGTGGTTTAACCCACAGCGCCACCCGTGTGGTAGGTGGTAGGTACTAGTGGCAGGTCCATTCAAATACCAATCCACTTTATTAATTTGTCTTCAGTGTTTCCCCAATGTTGCTGTATTCATGCCATCTTGAGGGACACTCTTGCATTATAGCACAACAAAAGCAGGAAAACACACACACACACAAAATTGCTGCAGAACGTTAGTGGGGGGTGAGGAGAAAAAGTTGCAGGATTTCAGGCGTAAGTTACACGACATGCACTGACAGGAAACAAAGCAAAGTATCTGCCCCGAAACATTTGCTTCGTTGAAAGTGGGATCGTATGTAACCTGCCCTGATCCCACCACAAACACAAATTCTCATTAATGAACGAAAAGGCTGTCTGATAGAAGTGTGCATGCACACAAAAGCTCATACCAATAACAAACTTAGTTGGTCTGTAAGGTGCTACTGGAAGGATTTTGTTTTTGTTGTTTTGACTATGGCAGACCAACACGGCTACCTACCTGTAACTAATATATAAATGTCAGCTTTCAATTTTACACTCAGCTTGCTTGTATTCAACCTTCCCACCACCAGGCGGCGCTCATGCACCAGCTATAGCTGAAGTGGTGGGAGAGAGAGAGGGAGAGAGACCCAGAAGCACTTCTGTGCATGAACAATGGTCCTCTTCCACTTCCGATGCTGCTCTGGTTCCTTGCCCTTTGGCTTTCTGACAATTCCATCCTTGCTTTCCCCCTCTCTCGTGTCCCCTTCCTATTGAAGAAAGGACAGAAGAAACCCTAAAGGGGGGGAAGAACCTCTTGAAATTGTGGGAGACACAGATTCAAAGTTCTCACCAGCCTAAAATCAGCCTTCCCCCATAGCTCAGTGCCAGAGCATCTGTTTTCCATGCAGAAGGTCCCAGGCACAATCCTTGGTCTCTTTTCCAGGCTAAACTTACCCAGCTCCTTCAAGCATGAGTCAGATCTTTGGACCATTTAGTGCAGCAGCATCTACACTGAGTAGCAGCACCTCCGAAAGGCTTCAGGCAGGCTGTTCCTAGCTCGAGAAGCCAAGAATTGAGGTTGGGACCTTCTGCAT